AAGCGACAATTTTATAAACCACAATAGATGACTCGTTAGATTACAAAGGAGGATTTTTCAAAAATGGTCACTTAGCTCCGCGTGGAAACGAAAAATTCATGTAGGATTTTTAAGAGTTACCTCCTAAGGAACAAAAATGTTACAAGCATTTATCCAAAATGTGACGGGAAAGTTGTAAAAAATAAGTGCAAATACGGAAAAGTGGCAGTGATCTAACTCACGTGTATGCGTTACGTTTCATCTTCATCTATACAGAAGTATAGATCTGACAGAGTTGCCGTCAGAAAAATGTGACTTTGCACCGCTATTTTTATAAGGCTTAGAGAAATGGTTTGTTCCGGTGCAAAGTCAAATTTTTGTGACAGAGACCGATAACCCAGAAGTCACGCGTACGCGTTTGTTCACGATCGCGCGCGGATCAGTCCCTGCGCTCCCGTGCCTGGGCGCGGGCTCTACGCGCGCTCTGATTGGCCAGTGTTTTTCGTTAATAATTCAAAAACGAAGCTTCAACCAACATTTTGGTAAAGGAAAAAGTTGTTCAGAGTCACCCCAGCAACCCCCCATTTCCGTATACTTCAGATATTGATCCCTCTCCAACATAATTCTACAAGATTTATCCGAAGTGTGACGGGATAAAGTGTAACATTTTTTGTTATTTACTGCACAAATTTTTCGTTTCTAGGCGGAATCAAAAGTGGCCATTTTTGAACAACCTCTTTGATAAATATAAAAATATATGCGAAAAGGTATCCAATAAATCCACTCGTACTTACATTCTTAAAACCATGTACACATTATTCAAATAAGGTGGATATAATTCATACGCGATTTATTATAATTTAATAGATAATAATTGAACGGACGTAATTTACCTTTCATTACTATAGAATAGTTTATTCACATGTTATTCTCGACAGTGAATTATATCTTATAGTGAATATAAAACGAAACGTTTCATAATTACACGATACATTAACATCTATCTAAATTTTTTCAAACTTTAATTAAAAATTATGTCTCGTACATTACAGATTTTCGAAGTAAGCTTATGTTATTTCTTGAAAAGTGTGATAATTTTGAAACCCAAGACAAAATTAACAAAACTTTATTACATTAATTGCACATAACTACAATATTTTCATGTTACTGCACTAATTTCCCACGAACCTTAACTTAATTTAACTTAGTTTCGTTATTTAATTTTTAAGTAAGTTTAAATTGCACGATGTTTCAAACCTTCGACATGCTAAAGCTAAACATGCATCAAGTTTGTCCACGCTTGTACTACAATACACAATTACTAATGTATAGAAAGACGTAATTTTAGGAATAAGGTAATAGTAATAAATCAGAAGTCAACGAAGAGTATTAATATCAATGTTTATTGCAAATACATAAACAATTTTTGGCTTTAGAAATAGTTCAATAATCTTGTACAATTAAAATTGTGTGTTACCAGATAATCAAAGTTCTGTACCCCAGAAAGACATACGTTTGCGCCAAACTGGCGGTTCCTGTCTTAGGAATTCCTCCTCTTCAGGATCTTCCCATGATGTCCGAGATTCGATCTCCACTCCACGAAGACCGGTCAGTTACACGCATTCCTCTCAACTTCCTCAAAGGTATTATTTGTAATTACTGTTAGAAATATGTATGTCCTTATTTTGTATTTCTCACTGCACAAGTAGACCCCTATAGGCGTACACGAAGTTTTGATACAAATTATTTCAAAAACAGGATTCAAGATATTAACCCTTTGCGATCCTACGTGTAGTCAGTTTTGTCATAAGAATTTTTGCCTTCAGATATCGTATAATGATAAATGATAAATTATCAATAACAATAAACCATATTTTTACGCATTAATATTATACCGAAACTTACTATTTTATAACTAATATCACGCTGAAATATTGAAATAAAGAGAAACTACGTGATACTGCCCGAGAGTGACCAAACGAGTGCGGACTAACTGGACTATTTGGACAGCAAAGGGTTAAGATTAATTTATGTCGCTAGAAAGAAATTAAAAATGAAACTATTATATGCATATAATACAAGATAAGAATATTACTAATTATACTAAATTAATTTAGTTATTAGCGCGTGCGTAACATTTTCCGCTTATCAATTCATTTATTAACACTTTACCGACCGGTAGCCTATTAATCGGCTTTTTGCCGCCAACACTTACCGATCGCCGACGCTTACCGACCGATAGCCTATTAACCGGTCAAAGTTTGATTTAACATTTCTACAGGTATAAGAAAAAGCGCGTATATTCCCGCGCAATAGCCTAGAGTCTAAATAGAGCCGGTGTCACCGATGTATCTGTGGCCGAGTGACCGGTCGAAAGTGCGTAGAATGTTCAACCGCTACCGGTCGGTAAAGTGTTAATACACATTTCACGACTTCTGTATGGAAATCTTAAATAATTAAAATACCTTTGCATCTTACTAGACTCACTGGTATACGTGTAACAAAAATTAAATTTTTTTTATAAATTTCTATATAATTCAATCATAATTGTTAGTAATTAATTGAGATTTTTATGTCATACATAACATTACTACAGTTAGCACTAATAGCTTGGAAGCTTTGCGAAAGGTTACTTTATCGTTACTTTTATTACATTATAATTTGAGTTTAAGAAGTGATATAAATAGGCAACAGAACAAACTGAAGTAACAGAGTATGTACCTCGAAATGTAAATGAATCTGGCTAAAACGTTAGCATATTATCAAGAATTTTCTATACATTGAAAGTGATAAACTACTGCCTATAATGGTAAACTTATTGTTAACGCTTTAACTTATAATATCACTGCATGCAACTGCTAATATTGTGGTTGGTCAATGTTGCATTTTTCCGTAAAAGATCGTTTCTACTGTTTTTAAAACAAAAGACTATTCGTAACCTGTGAAACGTATGCATAGTCTAACAGCTGAGATTTTCACGTGTTCGTTATGTTTAGTTAAATATTTTTAGTTTTCTTTTTTTTTATCGGTTAGACTCCATCACGAAACTTTTTTAACCGTCTTTGCACCATTCTTTTATTCACAAGATCATCACCGTGCACATCAGAAATCTTTTTCGCTGTTTGTACCGCATTTTTACCTTCGCGAAAGTAAATAAGCGTAATTGCACGAAAATATATTTAAAAAACATAAAATAAAATGTAGTTAAAAAAAATTTAACCAAACAGAACGAACATTTTTTTAAATTACACCTGAAAATCTCAGCTTTTAGACTATACACGCGTTTTATAGGTTGCGAATAGTCCTTTGTTTTGAGAACAGTAGAAACGATCTCTCACGGAAAAATCCGACAATACTTATTGGCCAACTCAATATATTACGATCGACAGTTGATTTTCAGGTAAATGTATAAAATGTTGGTCTTAAAACTGGTAATACCGGTAACAACGTTGAAAGTTTTTGAAAACTATTCCTGTTTTATCATCGGTGTACTTTATAACGTTCCAAGTATTGCATAAAATATTCGACAGAAATCTATTAAGGTCTGGCACGGATCAAGCAAATTTAATTTAACTTTCAGAAGGTCAGTTCATTACCAATCAACGGGTTCGTTACACTCGGACAGCCCCAGTAGTAGTAGCGTTTCCCCGGTACCATCGCCAAGTCCTAGAGCCACACCACTGCCAGTAACCAGGTACATATCAAATGAAACTAATTCAACGTTTATTCCATGCTTTGCCTGTCCAAGTAATATTACTCGATACATTCCGTGCCATGGGAAAATAGTAAGTTTCAACAGAACCGTGAAACGTAGGCCAAAAAGTCACCTTAAAATATTTAATTATCGAAAAGTATCGATAGTATTGAAATTTTCACACTGTAATCTTCCTTTGGACATACACTTGTCTCAGCGCAGAATTGAAGGTCCTTTTTCATTCAAGGAAAATTCCATTTCTGAGAACGATCGTGCACCACCGACGGTACACGCGGCACGGAACGTATCAATATACCGGGTGTCTTTTTTTAATTGGACACGGTGGAATATCTCGGAAGGAACTGAAATTATGGGGAAAGTATTCTTACAGAAGTTGTTCGGTATGACGAGAGACAGCAACAAGTTTATTTTTTGAACGCAACGCTGCATTCTTTTTTTTATAATATGATAGCGTTTGTTAAGAGGAATTCAGCGATGTGCCACGCAAAGTCATTTTGTTTTATGAAAAATCGTAAAATAGCGAAGAATTGGAGAGTCAGGTCAGTACGTTAAAGTACATTGCCGTTCGTAAGTATTACGACACCTGTTATATTCGTACAGAAAGAATTGTATAATTTAAATTACATTTGTTCGCCAAAGTTGGTATCATATCGTAACCTTAATACTTACAACTAGATATTTCCAACTCATTAGTAAAGCGACCGAATTTATTATCGAGTTTTAACATTAAACATGGAGTTGATTGTAAACTTATCTACTGTTAATATTTCCAAGTGGTGTTAGAATTGTGTACTTTTAGCATACCACAGTTGGAAGGAAAATTCGACTACTGACACACTTATCCGGAAAATGTCAATTTAGGAAAATTAGGGAAGGAAGTGCAACGAATAAAAGGAAAATTTAATTATTACCGTTTTTTTTTTTTAGAACTTATTAACCCTTATGTCAATAACCAGAATTGTCGTCTACTTTATCGTCCAATTTTAGTAGTTTTCTGATAAGAAAATTCTAAACTTGGGGCAAACACGGATAGGAAATGTGCGAAATACCAACGATCTGGCCGGATATTTCAATCTTTTACCTGGAAGATCAAATATTTGAAGTGAGAATTATGCAAAAGGGTACCCGGTTATTGACATAAGGGTTAATGGAGTTATGAATGGAGTACGAATTATCTAGATGGAAAAAATTGCTATAACCTTTTAACTAATTAATAGTTTTCAAAGAAATCTTTAGAAAAGTGGTAGAACGTACACAATTGTTTTAATTCGTGAAACATCTGTTATGGCATTTCTGAAGAGCAATCGAACCATTTATAGCGTTTCATAAATTTATTTTGAGACAAATATGTCAAAACCTCAATGACGTATTCCCGCGTCATCCGGACTCAAGTCAAAAACCTGAATGACTCATATGTGCGTCACCCGACGCTAATGTGTTAAGGTGATGATATATTAATAAAAGTACGTGTGCTCCTTATACTACGAGATTACCAAACTGAACAACTTTTCTTTGGATCTCAATAATTTTGTAACAACTGTTTAAATTTAATCCACATTCGATAAGTGTCCTAAAACTTACGAACGAGAGTATATCTCCTTATGAATTGATTATACAAACTCGAGCACGGAACGATATTGGAGCAGTAAGCCACGCCTACTCGAGCAACGATCCTATGATGGGGCACTATATGAGTGTATAGTGATCGTACATGCTGAAAAAATGCCTCACGAACGTACTAACGCACGTCCATCTACGAGCCTACTGTTCGTTCAAAATAAGAATAACCTCGCTCCTCTGCGCATAGACAGAGAGCGTAGCAAAGGGTAAGACGGAGAAAAACGTAGGCGGTTAAGTGGGGGTTTGGTACGTTCTAGCCCTGCCTTAGGCACGTCCCATGCGCGAAACGAGGTTATTCTTATTTTGAACGAAGAGTATGTATACTCTTGCCACTACGTTGCTCCCCACTTGTCGTTTGCTTTTCGGTTAGCCCGTAGCAGTGCCCGCGGGCAACGGCGAGCGCTCTTGCCCGTAAAACGTCTGCTCGAGCGACTCTGACAAGGGAACTTTGGTAACCCGAAAATTCCAATTTTTTTGAAACTGTAGATTTGTAGGGAATCTCAAGAGAAGTATCTGGCAATTTTTTTGGCCCTTTTTCGGTTTTTCGGGGTGTAACCAGCCCTTGAATGAAAATAAGTGTTACCCTATTTTCTTGTATATCTTTAAAACTATAGTAGATATAAAAGAATGTTTACAATAAAAATTTCATGGCTTTTTATGCCTTATAAGACGATGTTGTTAAATTAATAAAAGCACATACTTACGCACACACACTTGGTAACTGATAACCCATCGTTCAAACGAAACGCATCGATTAAAATTATTTAAATATTACATTATTCGATAAGTTTAACATACTTAGCATATTTATCTGCGTTTATTTGACATATTTTTCAATATGACAGAAAATTGAAAATTTTTCACAATAACGCCGATGGAAGATTTTTTATTGAAACAAATTT